GCCAAAGGGAGAGTAAGTAGGGTGGGGAAGGGGGTAGGGTGGGGACCGATGTCATAAAGAAGAAAAAAATGACTCTAGGCAGCACAGATAGCATTGCTTCTGAGGATGCCATTGCGGTTGGAAGCAGGAGTGATAGGTATAAGGATCTGGCAAGCTCATACATTCAGTCCCTAGTCTTTTCACTCTTAAGTACCATGTAAATGATGAGCTCCCAAAAGAAGGTGGGAAGCCCAGACTTTAACAACCAGAGGTTAAAACTGACCTACTCAATGAAGGCAGGAAGTTAATGAGGCAAGGAAGAGCCTAGCCAGCGATGTAAGACAAACTTAGGTTTGGTCCTGGAAAATCCAATTATTTTCCCACTAAGTGGTGCTGGGGCTTGTCTTCTCACCCTGTGCCAGTCCTGGGTAGGACTGGGGGAATGCACCATCACCTGGACCTGGTGGAAGAGCCATTCACAGTGTCTACCCATCCTGCTTTGTCCAGGCCTGGGTGGGGAAACCACAAGCCTCCTTTCCTTTCCCTTCGTGCTGTTCAGCGCCCCCTCTCTCAGTGAAATGGGTATGGTTGCTGGGTGCTCTGTTCCTAGAAGGAGGCCTGCCACAGTGGGCACTCAGCAAACAGTGGTTGAGTGCGGATGAACTCTGCTCACTTCCACTTCAGTCTATAGAGGCATTGAAAAGGCTGGAGAAAGTTCCAGGGAGAGCACAGTCAGAAGGAAGTATGAGAGTCTGGAGGTCCCAGTGGGGAGGTCCACCGGCCTGAGCACAAGGCTCCCCAGAGCCATCTGGGTGCCGGCTCAAACACCAAGGTCCAGGTCTGCACAGTTTGCAACTGACCTTCCTGCTGGGAAGCCCGCCTGGGGTGCAACAGCTTGGCTCCAGTGTTGTGGTCCCACCACCCCGGGGCAGTGCTCGGCGCCCGCTGCGCACGTAGGTCACCTGCCTCCTTCTGGCACCGCGTGGAGGATCGGGCGGGGACAGCAGGTGTGGCCGGGGTGGTCCCGGGGGATCGTGGCGTCCCGGGGATCCGGAGCCCGGGCGGTGCAACTCCATGCAGAGCCTCAGCCCCAGCAGCAACGCAGCACCGAGCAGCCACAGGGGCAGGGCTCCGCTGCCGCGCCCGGGAGGCCTGGCGGTGGCCATGGCGGGGACCCCAGCCTTAGGCTGCGTTCTGGGTACCACCCTCAACTCCAGGCCGCCTGCAGAGCAGCGTCCCCACGGGCCCCAGTCCGCCAACTGTGGCAACTCCCCAGCCTGCCTGGTGTCGGCCCGCCTTCCTCCCTGCGACAGAGGAGGCCACAGAGTAACCTTATCCTGCCCAGCAGAAGAGCGAGGAGCGGTGGGCTAGGCACACCCAGGCCTCCGAAGCCCTGCTGGGTGTCACTAGGTGTGACAGGCCCTCAAAGCCTCACGTACATTCCTGAGGTCCTGGGCTCTGATTTCATTTACTGGTGTTACTATTAGACACGGAGGAGGAGGAAAGGTGAGCTGCCAGGTTTTGCACCAAAGAAAAAGTTCTGTCAAGCAGTTTTGTGCCGTTAAGTATGATATAAAAATAAAGCATACTTATGCTCCAGTTTACAACTTCTCTCCCTCAAGGAAGAAAGGAGAGAGAGAGAATAGCACTCCATGCAGAAGAATCAAATTAGAGTTATTCGGTTTCTAAATTCTGCCCGGAGCCAATCCGTGCTTTCTCTCAGTGTTATGAAATGTGTGGGGGTGAAGGGAAGGGGGAAAGCTGGCTAAGACATCTGACAGCAGGGAGAGAGAGAACAGAAGTTACCATGGCATAATGGAAATCAAATTAATTTAATTCCAAACACATACCTCCCCGCTGCCTTGCAGAAATGCAGAGGGACAAATTTATCTCTAGGCAAAATGCTCCCCAGCTGGTATTGCCATCATCACCTTGACCTTAATTAATAAAACCTAAATGCTCACAGTTAGAAGCCCGGGTTTGATGCTCCACTTTCAACTGTTAGGATTCTGTCCCTCCACCTGTTTGGGGTTCTTTTGGATCCTTTTTAAAACTATGTCCAGGTACAACACACACACACACACACACACACACACACACACACACACACACACGGGATGGCTTCTCTGCAGGCTGTCTCTGCTGTCCATTCTCTCCCCCAGCCTGCAACATGAACAACAGACACCTAGAATGAAGCCTGGCCCCTCCCCACTTGAATTTTGGGATTTTCCTAAGGAGCTCTGCTCTCTGAAATTCCCATCCCTTTTTGGCTGAAGACCCAATTTATTATTTGTCACAGAGCACTTAACCTGTTTTCCTCCAGCTACAGAACTTCTCAAGCCAATCTAGACCATTCCTGGCCACCACCAGTCCTCAGGCTTCTGAAGGTTTCATTATGCTTGAAAATATTTCATACATGATTGGAATATAGATAGATGATAGTTAATAGATATAGATGAAAGATAGATGGACAGACAGATAGATGTAGATGTTAGATACACGTGATAGATAGATATAGAAGACAGACAGATAGGAATAGACAGACAGACAGACAGACAGACAGACAGACAGACAGACAGACAGGCACACAAATGATATCCACTTGCCCACCTCACCTTCAGGGAAACTGCAGATAAAGCCTGTATTAAGGCAAACAAATGCCTTTTTATTCATAGAAACTGTAAGAGACAACCTTACATCCTGTAATTATTTGCATGAGCTGTGTTTGAATCACAACCTCCCATTGAGCGATGGGAGACATTCAACAAAGAACTTGGCTTTTCTAAGCTTCTGTTTCCTGTGGGGAGACAGGCCCATACTTAGAAGTACAAATATCACATAACTATTATGCATTTCATGCCTGAGTAATACCTGACCCTCAGAAGTTAATTGGTTTTTTTTTTATCATTTACCAATAATGAAAATTTGGGGTATTGTTACAAAAAAAGGATGCATTTTTAAAAAATGGGCAAATACAAGAAAAGACAAGGTGATCTATAAACATATTATCATTGACTTAAGATTTATAAATATCTTCTCTTAGGAGCTCCCAACTAATAAGATAAAAATATGTTCTATGTGTGTATGAAAACACCATACGACACCCACTGTCATGTATATGGTTGGTTTTAATGTGAACTAGGCACAGATCAGAATCGCTTCAGTAGGGAGCATCACTGAAGAACTTCAACTGTCTCCATTGACCCAGATGGCCCACCTAGACTGTGGGTGACCGTTTGGGTAGCAGCCAAGATTAAATGACTGTGTTTCAGAGTGGGTTACTTCTCACCTTTTGCTTCCTTGGCCTCCCTTCTTGTCCTCCAAGAATTGAATTACCTGTCGCTGTCTCCCCCTCTCCACCCCAGCCCCCCCAAGCTAATTTCTCCACCACAGTGAACCAGGATTTCCAAGCTTTTATTGTGGAATGGGGACCAGCTCTCCAGGAACTTTGCAGGCCTCCAACACCAGACTGGGACCACTGAGGTGCCCTGCCCTGTGGACTGGGTAACTACAGTGTCACTTCCAGGAAGAGACTGCTATTCTGGGACTACTCTGACTGTTGAGGTACCCCAGTCTCAAGGACCTAGTACCAGGTTCTCAGCGTCTCAGATGTGACTATCATTATTTTACATATTGCTTGATAATATATTCATCCACTTGTCTGTTCCCCTAGAGAACTCCACTAAAACACCAGCAGTTTCAAGAACATGAAAGACTCATGATCCCAGGACTGGGGCTGGGGCTCGGGCTGGGGCTGGGTGGGACAGCACTTGCCTAGCACGTGTCAGGGCCCTGAGATCCATCCCCAGACTCAAGATTCTGCAAATGCTCTTTAATGAGTTGTATACTTATACAGCATTACTTAAAACAACATGTTTGCTAACCCTGCTTCACCAATGTCTCATATGGACTTTGCTAGAAGTTGGTTAGTTTACTTTAGTGTTTTTTATTTTCTGAGAAGTTAACACAGTGCCACTAAGAAAAGAAGCAATATTCTCAATATCATGGCATCACTGATGCATCCCTCTTCGAGTTTCTCTCTAGAGAGGAATCAGGAGGACTCCCTGATATTACTAGAATGGGGTATCTAGGGAGACTCCGCCCTGGGAGAAAAGCACAGCACAGCCACGGACACATGCAGAACAGTGTAGCCCTTGAAGAGAATGGGTATGATGATCTCATATTTTCCCTTATCTCATTTTATGTTTCTCTAATTAAATGTTTCCATTATGGAGAGAAAAAAGTCCAAATTATATGCAATGCTTAAATACCCTTTTCCTTTATATTTTGCAACCATGTTTATTTATGTGTTAATTACTAATCAAAAGACCTATTGGTATGTATGTAGCATCATTCATTTTCTAGGCAGAAATCTCCCACTTTGGTCTTCCACACAATATTTCTCTGTGTTGTGGACGATGATAAACTGACCTGATGGTAAGCTGGAGACACAGCTGACAAGAGATCTTTCATTCACAACCTTGGCTTTTCTCTTGTGAAGACTGTGCCTGGCTATGTCTCAAATATGCAGATCATCATTAGCCATTGTATCACAGACTTGTTAATTAAACACGGAGATCAGTAAAACACAATAGTGACTTTTTCCAGGTTATAAATTACATTCTCCATGAGGTTTTAACCAATAAAATGAATGAAAAAGACTTTTTATTGCTGATTTCCAACGCTTTTTTTTTAAATATGTATTACACACACACACACACACACACACACACACACACACACACACACACTGGAGTGCAGTGGTTTCCAGCCAGGGCTAACTTTACCTTACAAAGATATACTTGGCAATGTCTAATGACACTTACGATTATTGCAGTTCGGAGGAAGGGGGAAGACATTACTAGCATCTAATAGATAAAAAGCCAGGATGCTACTAGACATTCTCCACTGGAAAGCATCCTCCACTGAAACATTCTCCACAGTAAAGTATGTTCCAGCACACGATGTCAGGAGAGCTGACTTTGAGGAACCACACTGTCACAATAGATGCTGATATAGAAATTCTAAATTACTGACATGCCAAGGAGAAAAAGGAGACCAACAGAAATGACCCTCGCCTTTGTAGAGTGCTTCTGCCTCTGCTCTGCTGTGTAAATGCCCAGGTTGGACAGAAACAGGCAGATTTTCAAGAGGAACATAGCTGGAGGGCTGGCACCAGCATCTTCCTCCAACAGCTATCTTCTTTTCTCCACATGCACACTGGAAAATACATACAAGCCAAAGAAGATGCAAGCAGTCATTTCTTATTCAGAAGTGAGCATCCTCACAGACTCCTCCTGTTTACCAAAGGGAAATCATGTCCATCCTACTGTGATCTACTTTTGTACCATAATATTTATATTATTACATAACCAAAGAAGACAAAATCACCACCATATATTGTAAATAATATGGATAAATTTGCTTTAAAATAACTCTGTGGAGAGATGTGGGGGATGACTGGGGTATAAACAAAGCAAAAATTACTGTAAGTTGATTATTGTTATAACTGGGTAATGAATTCACAGTTCTTTATCACTGAGCATGCTTGAAATTATGTGCAGCAAATATGTTTTAAATTGTGAGCTATTAGCTGCATCTTTAAAAACAAAATTGGCAGTTCATATTAGTTTATAACATGTTGCTAGAAGATTTGGATGGTGGTGTTGTCACTATAGTAAAGAAGATTGGCATGTCTGTTCCTATTTGGGAGAGCAAGAGTGTCTAAAATCTACTGTAGTCCAGATATCCATCACCCACAGAAGACCTGCCCCAAAGACCCACAATGGATGCCTCAAATTGTATAGACCCAAACTCGATACAAACACCACTGTTAATCTGATAACTTTGACATCTACATGGTTTGTCAGTCTGATAATCTGGAGCAATCTGATAACTGAGATGTCTGCATGACTGGCAAGCAGCATATTCAGCATGGCTGTACCAAAGTGATGACTAATTTATTATGCTACCAAAACAGCATACAAATGAACACTTAGAAACTGTTTATTTCTGGCATTTTCCATTTAAAAATTTCCCACCTTACGTTACCTCCAGGAAACTGAAACTGTAGAAATAAAGTCAGGTAAGGGAGAAATAGTGTTTTTATGTAGTGAGAATACCCAATACAATGCAAGTCCATTAATCAGTTTTCACATTGGACATT